ATATTATTGATATAATATGCTTAATAAGCAATAATGCTTAGCATATTATTGATATAATATTATTGATATAATATGCTTAATAAGCAATAATGCTTAGCATATTATTGATATACTATGCTTAGTAAGCAATATTGCTTAGCATATTATTGATATAATATGCTTAATAAGCAATAATGCTTAGCATATTATTGATATAATATTATTGATATAATATGCTTAATAAGCAATAATGCTTAACATATTATTGATATAATATTATTGATATAATATGCTTAATAAGCAATAATGCTTAGCATATTATTGATATAATATTATTGATATAATATGCTTAATAAGCAATAATGCTTAGCATATTATTGATATACTATGCTTAGTAAGCAATATTGCTTAGCATATTATTGATATAATATGCTTAATAAGCAATAATGCTTAGCATATTATTGATATACTATGCTTAGTAAGCAATATTGCTTAGCATATTATTGATATAATATGCTTAATAAGCAATAATGCTTAGCATATTATTGATACAATATGCTTAATAAACAACAATGCTTATCTCCAAGCTAGAGGTAGTTATTTTGAACAACATACGTAATAATTACAGTCATCTCTGGTAATAAATACAATTTTCAAGCCTACATTACTAGCACATTACATTACTACAACTTTAGTAACAAATATTTCTTGACGGAAGCATATGCGAGCACACACAGTGGCCCACAAAAGTACTCTTACACCTTTTAAAGGTAAAAGGTATTTTCACACAAAAGTATTTTTACACCCTTTAAATTCTTACACCGCATTAACTTGTTTTTCAAAACTGAACTAAGTCATTTGAATTTCTTTTAGATGACACAGACGGACTAGTCTATGTACTTGACTCCTCCTCCCAAATTGACCATTTTTGCGAGGAATCTGAGCGTCAATTGGGGAGTACTTCGCAGTACTTCACAGAGGAAAAAGTCATCGTATAAAAATTTCTACATCATCGTCCTCCTCACTTCAATCCTGGACCCACCACGATGCTCTCGCGTCCTCTACAAGTTTCTCGAGGTACATACGAAGATCGCAACCCGGTCTCGAGGAGGACCAGCGATCTCGTCGTGAGTCGCGAGCCAGCCGGCGCGGCGTCTGAATTATTTAGTTAATTTCCGGTAAACTGAAACTCCCGTTGTCGGTAAAGCCGCGGCTGAACGCCCGCTAGCTTTCTGCGAGAGCCTTGGGTGGTGTCGAGAAGAAGAGACGTTCAGCCCCGCGGAACGTATAGACAAGCAAGCGCGGGGAAACAGAAGCGGCGGGGGGGATGACGCGGGGCGGAAAGGGAGGAGAATAGAGAGGACAGGGCGAGCGAGACCGGCAGAGCGAGAGAAGAGGCACAGCCAGTTAGCACGGTAGCGGATCAGACCTAAGTACGTACTTAGTAGACCCGAAGCACAGCCGGAGGCGTCTTAATCACGTAATTGCTCGCGAAATCCCGTGGCAGTGTATCCAGCCAGCCGGTCTACCCCTACCCCCGACGACGACGCCCACGGAAACCGAAACCCGAGCCCCCTTTCGAGCCCGTGCCAGGCCTGCATCCACCGGAGAGAGCAGGAGAGAGAGAGAGAGAGAGAGAGAGAGAGAAACACACACAGTCGGTCGAACTACAAAGTGAACGCAAACTGCTCCGGGCTCGATATCTTCTTACTTATTCATCCGTCGTTTCGCCTTGGCAATCGAAAATTACTCGGTCGCCCGGATGAAACGACACGGAAGCATCGCGCAGAGACAACCCACCCCTTCTCTGCTTCAGGAGACCGGGTTTTCTCCCGGTGGTGCTCTTCCCGAGCCACGAATCTAATTCCAACGACTACCAGCACCGTTCCGGGAGAGACGAGGCATCGCCTGTTTGCGGATCGTGTTTTAAACGCTGCGACTGAATTAAGGAGTTGGACCCACCACCCTCCACCCTTGGGACCGCGATGCTTAAATCGCTAACCGGGTTACTTAGCGGAATAGAAAACAGGAGAAGCATGTGTGAGCGTTTCGTAAGGAGTCGCTCGTATTCGGGGTAGTGTTTTTGTACTTTTTCGAAGAGCGAGTGGTAAGTCAATTTCTTTTTATTTATTTATCGAGCTATGAAACCCCCTTCGGGGTTCTTAGCGATATATTTTGTAATATGTTATTGCAAAATTGCTGTTACATATACGATATATTGTACAATATTATTATGTCCCAAAATTATGGTATTTCCGGGGAATAAAAGGTTCCTGAGATCATTCGAAGCAACTTTTTCCTTGGCGAAAATATTCTACGAGGCTTCGTTCGCGAGTTATTAACAAAAAACAGTGACCAATGAGAGGCGAGCTCGATTGNTAGCACGGTAGCGGATCAGACCTAAGTACGTACTTAGTAGACCCGAAGCACAGCCGGAGGCGTCTTAATCACGTAATTGCTCGCGAAATCCCGTGGCAGTGTATCCAGCCAGCCGGTCTACCCCTACCCCCGACGACGACGCCCACGGAAACCGAAACCCGAGCCCCCTTTCGAGCCCGTGCCAGGCCTGCATCCACCGGAGAGAGCAGGAGAGAGAGAGAGAGAGAGAGAGAGAGAGAAACACACACAGTCGGTCGAACTACAAAGTGAACGCAAACTGCTCCGGGCTCGATATCTTCTTACTTATTCATCCGTCGTTTCGCCTTGGCAATCGAAAATTACTCGGTCGCCCGGATGAAACGACACGGAAGCATCGCGCAGAGACAACCCACCCCTTCTCTGCTTCAGGAGACCGGGTTTTCTCCCGGTGGTGCTCTTCCCGAGCCACGAATCTAATTCCAACGACTACCAGCACCGTTCCGGGAGAGACGAGGCATCGCCTGTTTGCGGATCGTGTTTTAAACGCTGCGACTGAATTAAGGAGTTGGACCCACCACCCTCCACCCTTGGGACCGCGATGCTTAAATCGCTAACCGGGTTACTTAGCGGAATAGAAAACAGGAGAAGCATGTGTGAGCGTTTCGTAAGGAGTCGCTCGTATTCGGGGTAGTGTTTTTGTACTTTTTCGAAGAGCGAGTGGTAAGTCAATTTCTTTTTATTTATTTATCGAGCTATGAAACCCCCTTCGGGGTTCTTAGCGATATATTTTGTAATATGTTATTGCAAAATTGCTGTTACATATACGATATATTGTACAATATTATTATGTCCCAAAATTATGGTATTTCCGGGGAATAAAAGGTTCCTGAGATCATTCGAAGCAACTTTTTCCTTGGCGAAAATATTCTACGAGGCTTCGTTCGCGAGTTATTAACAAAAAACAGTGACCAATGAGAGGCGAGCTCGATTGCGCCAGCCGAGCTCGCCTCTCATTGGTCAGACGTCTTTCGTTAATAACTCGCGTGAATGAAGCTTCGTAGAACATTTTTGTAAAGGAAAAAGTTGCTAAAAATGACCCCAGGAACTTCTCATTTCCCGGAAATGACATAATTTTAGGACACCCTGTACATTACTTTGGATACGTGGAACTTATCAGATATTGTAGCTAACGTTTAAGGATGCATGTCGTGCTTTTTAAGGAATTAAACAATTTTAAACAGTAATTGAATGTATGATTTGCATAAAAAGGCATCTATTAGCAATAACGCTTTGCTAATGTTGTAAATGTAAAGTAAATGTTGCTTATATTGGCAGATTATTTTGTGCGCAATGATTCAATACAGAGAATAGTCCGAGAGCTTATAATTGTATTTTTAAATTTTTAACAATTTTAATGTCAACTTCACTTTTAATTTTAATCAATATAAAAAGAGATCCGTGGATATTTATATGCTATATATTGGGAAAAGCAGATAAGACCTGAATTCATATTTCGCATCACAGTGTTAAATAAACGAACACCGCCCAGTGAATGAACATTTCGCATTACACACTTAGAGTGTTCGTTCATTTGTAGTGAAACGGGCCACTTACGATGGAGGATAAAATAACGATTAATTCAACAAACATATAGCTTAAGTGTTCATCCACTTACTAATTCCCATTTACGATGGCTTTTGATAAAATTTTAATTTAAGTTTCTAATTAACCGCCTTTAAATTACAGAATCGTCAAATTATCACAATAATTCGAATAAAAAGTATTGCACACACAATTTCCATTGTTTTGTGACGCATTAAAAAAAGAGAGCAACGTGTGTCCCCGCGTGTTTATCGTTGTACAACGAACGGTCGAGCGACTGCGGAAATATTTGACGCGGGACCGCGGTTGCCGCGCGTTCTAACGCCGTCGCCGGAAGAATAGGGATTAAGCGTTTAATAAAAAGCCGTGGCATAATCTCGGCGGCGATGCCGTCGGGAGGACAGATAACTATAAAGCGTCGAGTAGAGCGCAGCGAAGGAATCACTATTCCGCTCCCTTTCCGGCGACGATTTCGACGCGTCGAACCACTCCAAGTGCCTAAGGGGTATATGACGCGTGGCATGGTGTGAACGAGGCCTCATTTGAATCCGAATGGAGACGATTTTCGCAGAAGAGGTTGTCAGTGAAATGGCAGGCCGAAGCCGTAGCATGAGGCGGCGAACGAGAAGAACGAGATGGACAGAGAACGAAGAGAGAGAGAGAAAGAGAGAGAGGAGAAACGGTTCGCACCACTTTCTGGCGTAACGACGATGCCAGCAATATGTCAACGACAGATATTCCAGCCGGTATTCCAGAGAGTGCGAACTATCGACCGGAAGCTCATGTATTTCCGTTTCTATATTGCATCGGGCTCACTTGAATTCCCTTTCAGACGACCGGCCCTTTCCGACCCCTCTTCTTTCGCCTCGCCCATCCACGGAAACGCTGATTCCGTCATTTATAAGCGACGCTTCCAAACGGTCCAGAGAGAGAGAGAGAGAGAGAGAGAGAGAGAGAGAGAGAGAGAGAGAGAGAGAGAGAGAGAGAGAGAGAGAGAGAGA